ACAATTTTTTGTATTTACATATTTATTACTTAAAATTCGACATTTATATTTATAATGCTTTGAAGTCATAAAATGGTGCAATTCATTTTGAAAAAAGTTAGTAGTACTAGTAGTGATATTTTCAATGTGATATTAAATATTTAAACGTTATGTGCAAATATATGTATTAGATATGTAAATACATAGAAATTGTGTGGTTTGTATGTAAATGATAAATATGTGGCAAAATAGCAAGCTCTAACTACTTTAAAAAAAGGCATCTTGTCTTATCCTCGAAACTTGTCCTGGTCATTTATTTTTCAAATTTTTTTTTTTAATTATTTTGGTTAATTAGATTCTTCACCTTATTTTGGTCTTATCCTTAATTTTGGCTTTTCGATTTCCAAGAGGATCTGTGTAAAAAAAATAATATAAGTACTGGACCAACAAATTGAGTGATAATTCTTATACTTGCTCTTCGTAAAAGAGATTTATCCTTCAAATCCCTTTTTAAAAAAATCAGCTTAAAATTCTCTCCTTTTGAGATCAAATCAGTTATATTTTATGTTAGGGGGATTTACAAACTTACCGATTAATTAATGTCTTTTCATATAAAACATGCATCAACATGAATCTTGAGACAATCCAACAGCTTAAGAAAGAATGACATGATAAAGTTGGGTGCACTAAAAAAGGACCTGGAGACCCAGAAAAATCAATCCGCTCACGCCAACGATACACACCTAAATAACATCATCTACTCGAGGGTTTGAGTATGCTCAACAAACAAGGATCTCTCTCGACAAGATTTGAGGACTGACATCCGACCCAATTTATCCAGTTGGTTGGCATCGGCAGAGTTGATTGATCTCCCCAACTTTCTCTAGGAATCCACCCAGTCGCCCATACTTAAAGGACAGACCGACAGTCCCTATCCTGAAGAGCGACCAACAGCCCCTATCCCTGAAGGTCGGTCGACTGACAACACTAATCTGTTCATCCTTTCGACACAAATCAACTGAGCCAAAGAGCGATAAGACTCTGGGCCCACAGGAGTATAATTCCTAGAATAACCTTTACAACACTCCTAAAGTAGGTTATAAATGTATTTTTTCATCGCTTTATTTCTTATATAAATAGAGGAGTCTTTCCAGGTAATAGGACTTTTTGGCCTCTCTCACTTCTCTCATTTATTTTCATGTAACAAAGGACTTTAGGCTCTTCACCCTCTTATATATCAATAATATTTAATTACATAAGAAGGGAGCGTGGGAAGACCTCAATTTGCCCCCAGAGGAGGGACTGTACTCCTTTACTCTCTCCCTCTCTGTCTCTCTCATTTTTTCTCTTCCTCATAAATGTATTTTTTCATCGCTTTATTTCTTATATATATAGAGGAGTCTTTCCAGGTAATACGACTTTTTTGCCTCTCTCACTTCTCTAATTTATTATCATGCAACAAAGGACTTTAGGCCCTTCACCCTCTTATATATCAATTATATTTAATTACATAAAAAGGGAGCGTGGGAAGACCTCAATTTGCCCCAGAGGAGGGACTGTACTCCTTTACTCTCTCTCTGTCTCTCTCATTTTTTCTCTTCCTCTGGTTAAAATGCTCAAATCCCTGTGCTCCACAGATAAATCCGGATTCAACACACGCAAACTTACATTTTATATTTATACCGCCCAAATCTTTCATATCACACTACAAATATCACTATTTTAAGTTTAAAAGCTAAAGTACTCACTTTTCATTCATAGGAAAAAGGTGGCATGTGTGTAAAAATTGAAGCTGAGGTGTTAGATATGTAAATACATAAGAATTGAGCGGTAATAGTGTAAATTTTCATTTATGTTTTCAACTTTTAATTGTGAAGTGTCTTATATCATGTGTCATATTAAAAAATAAAATAAGATATCCTCTTTCACAAGCAATACTGGCTAACAAAGTTTAATTAATCATCATGGTTAAATTTTAGTTTTAATCATGAATTTCTAACTAGTTGGCTAAAAACATTAGAGGAATAAAACAAAGGGAAATTTTGAGTTCTAAAATTTTCTATAAGGTTTAGCCATCAATCACAACCAAATTCATGTTATGGTGTCTATCAACAACACTAAAAGGAATGTCTACATCCATCCATGTTAACTTTACTAAAGTTGGGAGATTGAATTGTTTGGTCTATTGACCATTCATCTTCTAAGAGTAGTTTGTTAATCATAGTAACTACTCTTTTTTTTTTTTTTTTTTGAAATAAATGGAGTAATTTTATTATAAGAAGAAAATATAAGCCTTGTATTGCAATTTATGGAGAGAGAGATTTTAAGTGTTGTGCATGATTTGAAATAAAACATAACTTGTATTTAATAAATCAAACCAAAATATAAGAGTAAAGAATGAAAAGCCCGATAGAAAGAAATCAATATTCCTAAGGCTTGATCGTCACTAGAAAGCCTTTCTCGCTTGATTACAATCACGCTTTTCTTCACTCACACACAAAGAAATGATAAAACTTTAACTCACAATCGCTCCTGCACAAATCCTACACTACACACTCTAATATCTCCTTTATGCTCCAAGGGTATATGAGGTGTTTCTCAAAAGAGTATCGTTTATCCAATAGTGTGTGTCCATGTACGAAAGTGCCTACTGAGAGATTTTAAGCCTTTCTTCAGTCTAATTGTCAAATTAATAACTAATATGTCCTTCAAGTCAATGAGAGTTGGAGTAGTGCTGGTGTGGTGGTATCAGGGCATTGATATAGGATGCGGAGAAGCTAGATTTGCAACTCAGAATCGTCAATGTAGCGATTCGAGAGCCGGAGCACTGTCAGTTATGATGCAACGACATTGGTACTGGGCACTGGGGCATTTGAGACTGGCATTGGAATGTCACGTGCTCTGTATTTTTTGCTGGAATTAGTTGTATCAGGTGCTGGGACATCTATTTGAGTTGTTCCAAGGTGTTGTTCCTCTTGCACTTAGCTTTGAGCTCTGGAATATCATATTCTTTGGATTTTTCATGTATAGGACCTGTGCTAAGCACTAAGGTGCTTGTCAGTTGATTTAGCCCATTATATTCTCTATGCACTTCAAGTCCTGAATTTTCTCTGTATGTTGCAAATAACATTACATATGGCCCGAAAAAGTGTAAAAAATGATACATAAAAAGTATGAAAAAAACACATGAATATATCAACAAATTTTATACACATCAAGCCCTAGAATTTTTCCAATGCTTTACTTTATTATATATCAAGTGTCTTAGTTCGGTCAAGTTTAATTCAAAATTCCAACATCTTCTCTCTAGCTTAGGTCATATTAAATTCAAAAAAAGAAAAAAATGCCATAATGTATTAATACTCTTAAAAATTAAATGTCTAAGAAAATCTTAATATTTTATATTGGTTGTGAGATTTCTTCTTAAATTGATGTAAATATAAATAAGCTAAATTTAAACAAACTTAATTCAAATCCCGTAAGTATTATTGCTCTCCAAGGTATTATGGGCCATGTTTTTCAAATATGATAGGTATATTT